ATAGATGTGCCATGATTTATAGATACTGGCAGAAATGGAGGTGGAAATTACTCAGACTGGGAGATCTGACCAGACTCCTGTTAAGAGGGTGAGATGTCTCTAAATGCTCCACATCACGACGGAGAGGCCCGGGAAACCACATCTGATCCTCACTCTTCAGTTCCTGTGGATGGTCTTTCCCTCAATTCAGTTTAGTCATTTGAAGCTGATCATTGTGAATAACCTGCATTAAAATTCTCATAGACACTCTCTAATAGTGAAAATAATGAAATTCTGCATCTTTGAGAGGAATCACCCCAAATTTCTCGAGCACACAGAATCAAGTTACTTAGATGATGTCTAGTTTATGTTCTGGGTGCATACATTTGCAATTAGCTGTGCCAAGCATTTTTCTTTTACTTAATTATACTATCATCAAGTAGTATTTATTAAGAACAAACTAGGCTAAATTAATTTTGCAATGAGTAGCAGTCTTAAATGCTTTCTCTCTGCTTAGAGTCCTTAAATAGTCCATCTACCTGATGCATAACATTCATTTCCCTCAGGGGAAAAAAAGCTCTTAAATTTGAATTTTTATCTTATTATTTCAGGACTTCAATAGGGGACAGTCCGCTTCTAACCTCAGCATATTCAAATGTAAAGTGTCAGCCACAGTGTGATGTACTGAGTGGAATTCTTTCTGATGCTAGTGTTGATGTCGTTCCTAAATTAAAAAAAAAAGATGGACCTTTTTAAAAATTGATTTTAGTTAAAAAGCAACCTGAGTATAAGCATAAAATAAATAAAATATATTAAATTTCATGTAATATAGTTCATCAAAAGCAAAGCAAACGAAAACCACTGAACTTAGAAATGTTTAGCAAATGATTAAAATCTAAAGTCTTCAAAGTGACTATAGCGACTTTAGAGAAAATACAAAACGAAGGTTGAATGCAGATTTGGAAAAAGGGGGATACTTTCCAAGTGCAAAACTGACATTTCTTTCCATTTAACAGCAACAGCAGCATGTTCCACTTGAAATTCCAGGCACAAAAATGAATTTGAAAAAAGATCATTGTCAAGAACACCCTAATTTCATCCTAATCACAGTTCTTGGTTGTAAAGAAGCAGACACATACTCTTACATTTTGTTCCTAGAAGCAATTACACTATACTTTGGGGGAATGTCTAGGAAGAATGACAGAAACTAAACTAAAAGCAGAAGCCTGCAACAGGTGCTTCTAGGTAAGCATACTCTATCAGTACCCCAAGAAGCAGCATTGTGCTGGTATGTATGGTCCATGCCACTTTGTGAATGATATGGTACAGCTCACAGAGGAGGTTCTGCAAGGAACTCCAGATACCATGTCAGCCTGTAACTGCATGACTTTTGCAAAGCAGAATTCCTGGGTGTTATTTCTCCTCTTCCTTCATGTCTGTGGGAGTGTTACATATATGTATACACCAAAAAGAAAATCATGCTCTGGTATGCATGGGTATGTCACTCATGTATGTGTGTCGGGAGGAACTGAGAGATGACATCAGAATATCTTTCTTCAATCACTTCTCAGTCTCTAGGCATTCTTTCTTTTTCTTTTTCCCCTAATTTTTCTTGGGTGTTGTTTTTCTTTGTATCCTCAATGTTCTGAGTTACTTTAGGATTTGGATAATTTGGAGTAAGGTATACCTGCAATTTGACTTGCTCTGGGAATAGCTCAAGCTCCTACTTGCTGTCCAAAGAGCACCCAAGAGTAGCTGAATGCATTTCGTAGCAAATAGAGGTCTGCCTCTTTATTAGAAACAACTCAAAGAGGAAATGAGAAGCTCGAAAACAGTAGCCTGGTAGGCGAGAGAGGAGACAAAAAACAAGACCCTCAATCAGAACCCGAGTCATCCTGAGATCTTACATCTGGCCAGGAGTCTGTCTTTGTTTCTATCATCAGAAACTCCCAGGAGAATACAGCAGGCAGAATCTACAGGAAGAATTTGGTCATACTTTTCAAAGTAGTTTAGTTTTCAACAATCCACCTTCCCTTAAGGGAAAAACACCTTGAGAACCAATTAGTGGTATGACTGGCTGGGAGAAAAAGATCCGGCTCCAGTAGAAAAAATGTTTTGTTGATTTCAGGTAAAATCCTAAGGCCAGATGCTAATATGGATGCCCCAGTGCTCATCTTCCCTGCCCCAGGGAGACTGCAGTCTGTTACATTTGTTTCTCTTCAACTAGGACAAGAACGAAGTCTCCAAACAATTTTTGTAAGACATAATCCAGATTCGTGAACAGGTGGCAATTTTCTGAGGAGTAACAGTGGATTATTGGACTAGCAGGAAAAAAATCCCCTTAATCAGATTCTTCTTGAACAAAGCTCAGGGCTCTACTGCTGGCAGGGAAAGAGGTAAACAAGACAAATGGATACTAACCATTCACAACAAGGCTAAATTCATGATTGATGCTGCTTACTGTTTAAGATCAGCTATAAATATGCTGTCCAGTGGTTTTCAATGGTGTGACTGTCTGACTCAGCAGACCCAGGTCAGGAAGGAAATTTACATAAATGGAAAGTGAAATCTCTCAGCAAGCAATGGGACTGTTAGAGACTGCTTAGGTAAGGAGCTGCTGGCTTACACAAACAGATACGCATACTAAAACACCTACCAATATCTGCTAGAGCTGAAGCTATCACCCAATTAAAAAAAAAGGAAACAAAAACAAAGATGTTTGCTTTTAATTTCCAAGAAGTCATCTCACTTTCAATTCTACTTGGAGTAAATTCTTCACAAAAGAGCTGTCATTAGGAATGAGAAGAGTAATATCAAGCAGGTGTCTGCAAACACAGCACCTGTCCTTGGAGAGAGTGCACAATTGGACTGAGGGATATGCCTGATACAAGACTACTCCAGGGAGTAGCCCTGTGTTCGGGCGCACAATTCCATGGTTTGAAAAGTATCTTCACTCTACAGTAGTGTAGCACAGGCTATGGAGTCTGATTTTATATTCAGCAAGTCCAGATTATCTCACAACAATAGAACCCTGAAATGACTGTCATGTGCAATCCCCTCTTTAATGAAATGACATAATAAAAATGTGAAAATGAAGAATAAAATCGGAGAATACATTTTAAATGCTTATCATGGTGCCTAGCAGGAAGTATAATGGGTGTTGGTATTTGTTGTCGTTCTGTTTCTCTTCTGTTCCTGGTTGTATTATTTGAGACACATTAGAGGGTATTTTAGATTCATTCATAGGCTTTACTGCTCTGCCAATCTCTGCACCCACACTTTTGCAAGTTTAAATGGGAGGACCATGATTTTCAATCCATGACCTTGGATTCAGTCTTACAACTATTCTGACCAGTTTTGTATGCGAGTTGTGACAGAGTCTAGCCATTGTAAGGTATCTCTCTGATACAATAGCCTGCTGCTAAAGGGTTGGTAAAATATGTGGAACATATTATGCCTATAGACCAACAGTGTGACAGAAAATACCTATCCTGTACCAGAACCTCCACCACCAGTAGGAGCTGTCCTGCAGAGCCATGAGCAAAATAAAAGCATATTGATTAAATTGTTGAATTTTTATGATTATAGATCATGTAACAAAAGCTAACTGAGTTGGGGAATAAATTAAAGAACTGATTACACGTTGTACAAGTCCCCATGTTCCAAGAAAAAAAAAAACATCGGCTTAGGGTCTAAACTGAAGAAGCGGTAGAAGTGGGGGACATAAGGAGACTGCTTCAGCAGAGCAAGGATAAGACCTGGCTATTCTGGAGAGTCTAAGTAGGCCTTCCCAGCATTGGTGAGTGAGTGGCACACATGGTCAACAGTAAGACCATTTACAATGGTTAACATACATTTGGTAGACACTGAGCCAAAGACTGTACGTCAGTGGTTCCCAACCTTCCAAATGTTGTGACCTTTTAAACAGTTCCTCATGTTGTGGTGACCCCCAACCATAAAATTATTTCATTGTTACTTTATTTCCTAACTGTAATTTTGCTACTGGTGAATCATAGTGTAAATATCTGATATGCAGGATATCTCATTTGAAACCCCAAAGGGGTTGTGGCCCACAAGCTGATTATCACTATTCCATGTTCTCTGTGTCTTAGTCTTAATAGCTCTACCCATAAGCACTAAAACTTTACTGACTTCCTAAGTGAGGAAACTGTGACCAGTTTGGAAGAGTAATCTGCCTGTGTTTACAGAGGAAGGGAGAAATGAGACAGGATTCAAACTATAGAATATCTTTACATAGTACTTCACTCCTCTCAGTTTCCTGTGTGCATTAATTATTTAATCCCTAGGGCCTTATGGACAAGGTGCTGCAGGTAACGAAATGAGAGACAACTAGCCAGTATCCTTGCCGAGAGGTTCACTGGGACACCAAGTAGTGGTCTTGCTGGCTTGGGGGTGGTGCTGGAGCAATCAGCTAACTATTACAGGATGTTAACAGCTTTGGTCTCACAGTCCACCCAAATGTGAAAGAGTATGACCATAATATTCTCTACCTTTCTGGAACTGAATAAGCTTACTCAAATGCTTAAAGGCAAATACACATTCTGGGCACTGTGGTTCTCTTCAGGTGCATGGTGCATGGAGTGATGAATGACCTTTAGCTTATTCTACATGCATTCTTTGAACTAAGCTTTTATTTTCCTTCCTTCCTTCCTTTCTTTCTTCTTCTTTCTTTTTTTTTTTTTACAAGCACAATTCCCTCATTTGTTGCCTTCATGTCAACTCATCCTAGTTTTGACTGTATAGCGTTAGTCACTACTCTGCCAAGTCATAAATTCAGGGGACTCTTAGTAGAATGATCAAGAGAATGGTAGTCATGATGAGTTTTCAGAACTACCATAGGAAGTATGAAAACAAGGAAGTGGTCCCCAGATCTATCCACACACATTTCCAGTGTCTAGCAGGAATTCCTCAATGGTTCCCACCCTTCAGGGATGGCCTCCATCTAGACCTCAAGCAGAACAGCTATATCTCCAAGTACCAGCACCCGGGCAAACCCTTACCTTGAAAGCGGCACCTCCATGGATGATAGATTTGATAAAAATTCCCAAGTCAGTTCCTGTTTCTCGGGATTTATTCCCTTTCAAGCTAACCCCAAGGCCAGCAGAGCCGGAATCATTCAGGGGGATCTCCAAGGTGAGCTGCTCGCTTGTCTCCAGGGAGAGTGCGTAGCAGTCAGGCTCTCCTTTCTGTTGGGAAGAGTGAGAGAGGAGACTGATTATCAGTTCACTTTCTCAGATAACCTGAAGCAGATGCAGTTGGCAAAATGGGATGGTGGGGCCTCTAGCAGTTGTATTCCTGGCAGATAGAGGCTAGTCTCTATCTCTGTCCGTAAAATGCTATCACCATGTCTACTGCACAAAGAAGTGATCTTTGGGGACAGAACTTGGTGATGGTGAGGAAAAAAGAGCCACTTTGCGAGGTCATGTTGTACAATTTTAAACATTCTATAGACATTTGGAAACTTGGTAGCATGTTAAAATAATGAAACAGGCTGAATGTTAAACTCGGCGAACATCAGGTTTCAGGAGATTCTTGGATATCATTCATTCTCCTCATCTTCATCTTACACATGAAGATGCAGAATGTACTATATAGATAGAACTTGGTGAAAACTTTGGAGAAATATTATGCTTATATAATTTAAGACATTGTTTACCATAAGAACTATAGCACTGGTGAAGAGTATCAATAGGACGCACAGCACAGGGAAATTTTCATTTTCAAGTTAGAGAAACACATTTAATGGTTATCATTGAATTCAAATTTCATCTTATCAAAAATCATGCTGAAAGCTTATATCATTGCCTAGCAGAGCCCCCTAAAAATAAATTCGTTCTTAGACTGCAATAAAAAGTAATTATGCATAATTAATATTCATGTCCTCTCTGACAAATGACACCTCCCCACCAGCAAACAAGTCTCCACACAGTCAGAGTGTGGTGGCAAAAGGCAGGCTTATGGGCCAGCTCTCCTGGGAGAAGTATGTGGTTAGTCATATTTGTACAGAGGCTTTTCAGAAACACAGGCATGAGAATCAGCACGTGCTGTGCATGTGATAATTGCATAACTGTCCCTCCTGCACCTCTTCAAGCTTGCAGGAATGCGAAAGTGCCACAGTGCTTTGCTTTGGACAATTTGAAAATGAGATATTCCTGAAAACCATCCACTCATTCTAGGCCAGCAGTTCCTTCCCCTATGTAATTATGTCTAGAGAGGATCATCTTAAGGTCACTCTGAGGTGACTCTTCTGTAAGATTGTGTATTTAAAACATCATCATGAGTGTCTGAATATCAGTCTCAAATCCATATAAAATCAGAAGTAGCAAAGAACCCATAATTAAAACAGGATTAGGGGGTCTGATCATAGCCAGATCCACTGACCTGACATTTTCAACCCTGAACAAAAAAGACAACAACACACATTTAACTTGTAAAGAAATGGGTTCTTTCAACTTCTTGTATTGTAAATGAGGTTTATTGGAAAGATGCTGACAAGACAAAAGGTTGGTCAAAGAAATGAAACTTCATTGCTTAATTTAATAAATCTATTGCAGGTTTACATATATAACTATATATATATGCATATATATATATATATATATAGTTGTATTAGCTAAGAAGCAAATTCCATGACTGAAGTCAAAGTTACCATCCCTGATTGTTCCCCACCCCCCATTGGAATGCCAGAGCTCTGCAGTAAATGTAAACAGTTAGCCTTCACCTTTGTCTTCTAATCTGCCTAATTTAGAATCCATAATATTTTACAGTCACTTATGTTTCTGGGCCTCTCTGGGATTGGGTTAATTTAAATCTAATAAAGTTATACAGAATTAAACTATATATTAAAGGACAATTGTTCTCACTGTGTGTTCTGAATACTTTAGGAAGTAAAACTAGAAAGTTCTTTGGCTACTAATAACAGAAAATTGTTAAAAAGAAACTAACTCTGCTTTAGAAATGCAGTTATATATATATTTATAGATAGGGCTATGAGCTGGTATATACATTCCTAGGATATATGACTTTATGTGGCAAGTGTATAACGTCCTTACACATACCAAAACATTTTGTGACAGCATGTGGTGTATGACTGTATCTTCAAATCCCTTATTTCATGATCAAGGACTTTTCACTTAAAAACTATATTTGACTAGTAAGACTGACAGCCAGTATTGTTTAACGCTAATACTGCTAATTTGTTATCTAACTACAGAAACAAAATTGGGATCACATGACATTATGGTTACCTCTTCATTCTAAAGTTCCTGACATGGGTGAGCCAGAAATGAGATCAAAACAAACTAGGGGCTAATGGCGATGGAGTTGACCTGCTACACGTACCTGACACATGTTAAAGCACTTAGCTTCACAGTGACTCTAAAGGCTTATTTATTATCAGGGCAATTTTAAAGGCAAAGGAAACCATGGTGCATAGCAGCCAGGCACTGTGCTAACAGATCAGAAGACTTGTAAATACAGAAGCTTTGTGATGCCCCGGCAGCATGACTCCTGGCTCCAACTCTTATTTATTTTTAGGAAAAGGTCATGAGCTGTTTATTACATGTTTGGTACTCTATAGTCATTTTAATGAAAGCACTGACATTTATCCATGATCTATGATTAAAGATGATGTGAACAATGCTGTAATTTTATTATTAAATGACAAATAAATATACTTATGGTATGTATATTATACATTTATGAATACAAGGCTGGGAAGATGGTTTAGTAGATACGGAGCCTGAACTGGCCATCTCCCGAGACCCAGAAGATTTCCAGTGGAGGGATTGAGACACCAACTAGCCACACAACTTTTGATCTATAGTCTGTCCTGCCTTTGGGAGGTGCTGGGATGAGGATGGCATAGAGATTGTAGGAGTGGCCAAGCAATGACTGATCCAGCCTGAGACCCATGCCACAAGAGTGAGCTCACCCCTCATGCGGCCTGAAGAGCTAGGACTCAGAGGCTAGATGCCCAAAGACCTAGGATAGAATCAAACATGATTGGAGAAAAAAAATATCAACGTAACAATGCCTAATGATATTCTGTTATACCTGTAGATTGGTGACTATCCCAGTTGTATTTAGAGAGCCTTCATCCAGTAATTGATGGAAACAGATGAAGACTCACAGGGAATCCTTCTGAAGAGAGGATGGAAGGATTGTACAAGCCAGAGGGGCAAAGGACATCACAAGAAAACCCACATAAATAACTCATAAGAACTCAGAATCTGAACTGACAACCAGGAAGCCTGCATGGCACCTACTTAGGCTTTTTATATATATGTGACAGTTGTGTATCTTGGTCTACTTGTGAGACTTCTAACAGTGGGAACAGAGGCTGTCCCTAATCTATTGGTTGGCTTTTAGGATCCTATTCTTCATATTGGGTTGCTTTGCCCAGCCTTAGTTCAAGAGGAGGTTCTTAGTCTTACTGAAATTCGATATGCCATGTTTTGTTTATATCCATGGGAGACCTGTCCCTTCTGAATAGAAAAAGGAGATGATTTGGGGGAGGGGCAGAGGAGAAGTGAGGGGAGGGGATGGGAGGAGGGGAGGCAGGGGTAACTTAGGTCAGGATATAAAACAAATAAATAAATTTAATTTTTAAAAAAGTGCTTGGGGTCCAAGCATGAAGATGAGTTAGGAGCCAGAAACTTAGCACATACCAATGCACATACAGACATGTACCACATAAATGCACATACACACAACATGGTAAAATAAAAACACTGAACTTAGTAACATAAGCATTACCTCAGATAACTATTTTTGAGGGCAGTGGAGTAACACCCCTTAAACCTGTTTTCACTGGACTTTAAGAATACATTGTGGTACAATAGAGTCACCATCTAGGTATTGGAATAATCTCTAGATCATTCTAAAATTTGGTACCTTCTGACCAATCCCTTTCTAGTCTTCTTGTCCCCTGGTAATCATTTGCTTTCTGTTCTAGGTTTTAGTTTGTCTCTTTTTAAATCTCTTTGTTTCTTCTTTATTTTTGTTTTTGAAATGATAGGTTTTCATTCTGTAGCTCAGGCTAGCCTCAAACTCAAATAGCAATCTTCCTATATCTGCCTCAAGAGTGCTAGGTTTATCGATTAAGATTACAACTATGAGTAGCATGCCTGGAAGCCTGATTCTTTAGAACTGTGTCACTATACATCCTCATGTCCCATATTTGTGAGCCATAATGACATGATATAGTCACAGGACATTTCAGGATAGATTCCTATCTATCTTGAAAGTAACATGACACACAACTTATATTCTCTACCAAACACAGTTATGCTTCACTCTTTGTTACGCTGTAACGGACTTGAGTCATAATTAGCAGTTTCTAATAATGGCAAATTCCCAATGGTGAAGGAAGCCATTACAGTAGTTAACACAGCCATTTCCTCTCTTTGAAATAAATGTTCCTTTACCTAATGTACAAAGAAAAAAAATCAATATACTGAATGTCTCATACCAATAATCTTGGCTCAAATAGCAACTCTGAAAATTAAACTCAAACCTTGTCAGGCATCATTCTTCAGTGGATGAGATGGTGTATAAAGCACTCACCAGTGCCAGTACCTCCAATCAGAGATGTGGCCAACCTGAGGACAATGTCACATCCAGACTGTAGATGCTTCCTGTCTTTTCAGCAAGAGATCCTCCCACATGTTTTTGGTAGACCCCTGCCTTTTCCTCCTACAGATACCTGCAATTCCCCACCAAAAACACTGGGGTAGTGAAGAACAGCTTGTGAATCATAGTTTTAATTTGCTTTCTCATTATTTCTAATAGCTTGTCACTAGTGCTTCAGAACACAAAGCCCTCAATATTCCCAGGGTTAAGCTGGGATAGATACTCAACATGCACCCACTAAACTCAATACCCCAGCACTTGCTAGGGACCAATCATAGAGAATCCTCAGCTTGGGTCTCAGTCTTTGCACAACTGACATGTGTAGGTGTTTGGGACTGTCCTATATGCATTGTAGTTAACCACATCCCTATAGCCTCAGTAGTGTTCCTGCACCAGCTATGACTAAAAATGTTGCAGGCATTGTCATATGCCATCTAGGTTCAAATTATATCTGGTTGAAAAACCACTAGTCTTGAATTAACATTACCAAATGCAGCCTAATTTTAAAAAAGCCTGGGTCTAGAAAGTATCATGGAAGTTGTTAGCTACCTTG